AAAGGCTAATAGTCGCAAGGATGTGGGGATGTCAATTCAAGTTGCGCCTTATCGATAAGAGCTGCGATAAGATTGATTTTAGCAGCGTTTTCTTCTAGAACAAAGCGGCGGCCACCAACCGAATCACCGGATGCTCACATCCTTGCGCCGCGTCTTGTCAGTTGCTGGGTGCCAAGAGAAAGTGAAGTGACAAGGCTCAGCCTCCTCCAACCTTGAATTTCTGCCTTTTGATCAACCTGCCTCTTCCCACCAGGCGACAGACTTTCGCGCACCTCACTCCCACTCTCGCTCTCTCTCCATCCTGCAACCCGCCGCGACACACATTACACCCGACAAGTCTCTCGTTTGTGTGGGCATTTCCTACTTCTCTCATCTGCGCCAGCCAACCCGCTTTCCTTTACTGCGACACCGGCCTCTTCTCTCACCACAACCAACACCTAGCCAACTTCCCCTTCACCACCGCCCAAAATGTCCGACTCACACTCCCTAGCCCAAATCCTCATCCGCTCCGTCATCCGCGCCTTCCACACCACCCAAGAAGTCCTCGCCATCGAAGCCCTGGTCCAACACTCCTGCCTGCGCGACGACGAGCTAGCCTACCTTATGAAGATGAACACCAAAGACCTCCACCGCCTCTGCGCCTCCCTCCGCGACGCCCGGTTTTTAACCGTACACACCCGCCCGGAAGTCATTGAGGGCAAAACCCGGCCTGTCAACAGGACATACTACTACATCGACTACCAGCAAACCGTCGACGCCATCAAGTGGCGCGTCTACAAGACAGACAAGGACATGCAGGGCATCGCCAAACCACAGGACGAAAGCAAGGAGTATTCCTGCCCCAGGTGTAAATCCCAGTGGACGCAGCTAGAAGTGCTGGACAGCGTGAGCATAGAGGGGTTCTTGTGTCTACGATGCGAGGCTGTGCTTGAGAGGAGTCAAGAGCAGGAGCAACCCGGTCATCAGCAGTTGTCGAGGATGAATAACCAGTTTAAATTCATGACGGACATGCTGCAGCAGATCGACAAGGGGCTGGTGCCAGAATGCAGTTTTGACAAGGCGATTGCGGTGGCGAGACCGATTGTACGGGAGGCGATGCATGAGGTTTTGGCGAGCGTGCCGGTGGAGGATGCGGGGGGGATGGGGAAGCCGTCTGCGGTCAAGGGGTTGGCGAACATGGGGCCGAAGACGATGCAGGTTACGATCAGTGATGGGAATGAGGAGGCGGAGCTGATTGAGAGTAGGAAGAGGAAGGAGAGGTTTTTGAGGGAGAACGCGCTGCCGAGTTGGATTACGGATAGCTCGGTGCCGGGCGCCGGCTGCGACGGCTGCGCCCCCGGTGGTGAGCTTTGAGATGAGGGATGCGGATGGGGGGGATGGGGGACGGGTTGGGAAGAGGGTGAAGGTGGAGGGGGAGATGAGCTTTAAGATAGAGGAGGATGAGGAGGATGATTTGGAGTTTGAGGATGTGGTTTAGGGGGGGTTGCTGGGGTTGTAAAGGATTTCATGGGGGTCGATTCGGAGGCTGCTGGAGCGGTGGCCGTGAAGGATGAGTCTACAGATGATGAAAAGGGTGTGGATTTGGGCAAGGATGAATTGGAGGACGATGATTCGGACGGCTACTATTCCGAAGACGACAAAACTTGGTTGGCTATTATAGGTCATGGTGGGAAAGAGACCGGCCATGCTGAACGAGAATGCCATCTGGGGAAGTCGCAGGGGTGGCCTCTGCTTTGAGAGAAGTGGTAGGGGAAGATGGGGATTTGGAGGCGTGGACATGGCTCGCGTTGCTGGATGTGAGCGGGGAGCGCAGCGATGGTGTGGCTGATGGGGCGCTGAAGGAGATGTCATAAACCTTCAGTCTGAAACACTCCCCTATGGCACCAGCGTTTTTCATTCTTTTTAATCTTTTGGACAGGTTATAACAAAAAGCGGAAGGTAGGCGGCATCAGCATGTGTTCTTTGCATTTTCCCATACCCAACTGACGGGGGATTCGGTTTGGGTTGTTTGGCGTTTTGGGGGGTCTAGTCTGGTCTGGTATATACCGGTTTTTTTTTCAT